TCAATTATGAATTAGTAAATTTTATAATTCTTAATTTATAAAAATATTACTATTACTAATAGTAATAATAGTTAATTTAACAATCCATTTAATTATTCATGAAACACTTATTAATTTTTAAGTTTTGATATTAATAAAATAATTAATTATTATTGGTAATATATCACTAAATAATTAATCATGAATTATTAATAGATCAATAATATTAATTACTAAAAACAATAATATATTTTGGTATTAAATTTTGGAATTTTTAATAAATCATGGATATAAATAATAGACTTTAAGTGAATTTTGGTATTTTTCAATTAATCCTAAAAATAATTAATTAATTTTGGTAAACTATTAGTAAATTGTCGACAATATTAGTAATTAATCCCAAAAATATTACTAAAATGAAAATTATCAATTATTAAAAATACCAATTTTGTTTGGGAATTTTTAATTAATCACGAAAATAATTAATTTATTTTGATATAAGTTATAATAAAATAAAATGAAAATATTAATTATAAACAATAGGTAATATACCATTCAAAGTAAATAGATTGTAATTGGGTTAGGTTAATGAAAACCATACCATACTCGATCCAATAAACCACATCACTTTAGTTAAATGGATGGAAGAGAGAGAGAGAGAGAGAGAGAGATGTCTTAGTTAGAAGTGGGGATTAATTAAGAGTATAAAAAGTTGGTTATGAGCAATATTTTAGGAATGAAGACTTTAGGAGACTTGGATACTTTTAAGAAAAATTAATTAGGAGTGTGGAGGGGTTTGTAAAGAGATTGAGAAACTGAGCTGTAGAGAGAGATTAGTTAGAAAATGAAAAACGAAGATAGAGGGTGATGAGTTGGCTTAATATGAGTGGTGGAAAGGGGAGAAGAGAGAGAGAGAGAGAGTAAGGAGAATGCAAGGTAGGTGTAATAGAGCAGAGAAAGGCATGGTGATATTGTCTTGCTATATATATATATACTACTAGTGTGGACTCGTGTGATGCACAGGCTTTGTGAAGCAAAAGTTAAACAATACAAATACATAAGATTATACAATTGTTTTGTATTTTAATTTTTAAATAATTAATAATTAATTATATTTTATATACTACATTTAATATTTTTTTTGTAACACAAAAATAACAATAATTAATATCAGCTAGGATGGTTCATCAATCTTATGAAACCGATGAAATTGACCAACCCATCCTATCTTGACTTGAGTTGGTCGATTTTCTAATATTTTTCGGTCAGCTTTGGTTCAACAATTTCCCAACCCGACCAGGTCAAGTCAATTTCGGTTTGGCCATTTGTAAACCGACCAAAATCAAAGTGACTTGACCATAGATATATATCAATTATTATATTTCAAATATAATTTTTAATATGGGAAGTTAGAAAATTCCCATATTTCTTAGTCTAAAATATTCTATATTATAAAGTTAAATTATTTATTTATTTTTTAATAATGCTATTGTAATTTTTTAAATTTAAAATTTATTTTTAAGTTTAAATCTTTTGAGTCAATTGGAAAAATTGATACAACTTGAGATTACCAATTTTTACTAATGGTTGGTCGGTTTCGGGTAGACTTGTACACAAGTAGGCTTAGGCCAGACTTTTCCTCTTTATAAATAGAAAATGACTAGGCTTGAGCCTAAGCACATCCTAAGCATCAGGCCTAGATCTTGAGCCCAAGCCTGAAGCCCGACCTAGACAAATATTATATATTGTATTACTTATACATTATTAATAATATATTATACATTTTATAATATTCTATATACTATAATATATAATATATTTTTCACTACTAATTTTATTATTATATAATATTTATTTTATGTATTATTAATGTATATTATATTTTTTGCTATGTATAATATTATTGGGTTAGGCTTGGGCTAGGCTTATTTGGACTTAAAAATAGTAAGGCATGATGTTTAAAGCCCAAGCCTGAGCTTGTGGACTTAAAATGTTGACCAGGCCCGATTTAGAATGGGTCGGGCTAGGCCAACCCGTTGGGCTACTCGACCCAATGAACATCTAGTTTCGGGTGACCAACTCCCCAACCCAACTAGGTTGGTCTAGTTGGCCAAACAACCTTCAACCAAACCAAAATGACCTACGAACACTACTAATTTTAGCTAAATTAATAGTCTAATCTCTAATAAATACCAATAGTTTAATCTCCAATAATTATTGAGAATTTATAGCAAAAATAAACAATTTTTGAAAATAAATTTATAATGAAAATACAACAAATAACTAATAAATATACAGTGAATACAATGATTATGAAAACACAATAAATACTAAAAGTATATTAAATTAGTCAATAAATAGTGTAATATGCAATAATAGTTTAATCTCTTACAAATATAAATCAATAAATTATAACAAAAATACAATAAATCCAATAAGTACAATAAATTAAATTTAAAAGTTAAATAATAATATTTTAGTCTCTAATAATTATAGAATTTTTTTTTGTTAAATAACAAAACAAAAATAGATTTATACATAATTGTTAAAATATATTTATCAAAAATACAATAAATAATTACTGAAAAGACACTAAATATTAATTTTAATATATAATAAATATAGATAAATATTTTAAAATTATTATTAATATAGAGAAACTGATTTTGGCAACTAAAACCGAATCGAAAACCAATTAAACCAAAACCAAAATTTTGGTTTTACTCGAATTATACTCAAGGTTCAAAGTATCGATACGATATGAGTTTCAGTCGTATTATATCGGAACTTAGAAACAACCGATACATATTTTTTTTTTAGTTTTTTTTTTCAAAGTTTAATTTTTTGGGAAGCTTATAAGATTTTTTATTATTAAAAAAATTGGGGGTCCGAAGCACCTGAAAATAGACACTTCGTACGATATTTTTTTCAAAAGATACAATATGATACACCCTGTATCAAACATATGTATGGATACTTTGAACCATGATTATACTCATCTTAGGAGAAGAGGGTTGCTTTATGATATAATATAGCTAGATAGGATGGAGCTGAGCCTCTTAACACTAATTAGACGGTAGAGGGTTGAATCTAACGAACAAGGCGTGGCCCAGTGGGTCACTCACATTGATGTGCCCGGGAGGGTTTAAGCGGGGCGAGCCGTTCCGATTCCAGACGATACGTGGTCCGTTGCTTGCAAGCGAAGGATCTTTATTTTTCTTCTCTCAGTTAGTGGATAGCGTCTAACACTGTCATTGTGGAAATAGAAAAGGTGAAGAAAACGCGGCGGCTAGATGAGAGGGAACGGTCGTGCTGGTCCATTGTAGGTATGGTGGGGGAGAACCGGAGAATAATAAATCAGAAATGTGGACCGGATGCTGGTCTAAAAGAATAAGAAAAGAAGTTAGAAGGCAGGAATAAGGATAGGTGACTCACCGTCCTCTCCCCCTCATCTGATAGTGACTCATCAGATGGGTTACGGTTCCGCTCGTAGTACCAAACACCACGTCATCTTCAATTCTTCATATACGCGGTCCTAAATGTGTTGTGTCGATATATGATTCGCCAACCATCCTATTCTTCCCGTATAAGATTCCAAGTGCTCTCGTGTCTCGTTGCGATTTTCATGTGCTTACCTGTTACTTCCTATTTTATTTACGGAAAAGTACAGGTTTAATGTAGATGTCTTAATTTCATTGCAAATCTATAAACATTTAAAATGTCAAAAACCCCTATTTTATACATTAATGCCCATCTGTGAATTGATATCAATTTGGAGCTGGGGATATTAGTATCATTTTACTGGGGACATTAGTGCCATTTTGGTCCTAGAACTTTAAAATGTGCCAATCTAGTATCTTTTATTAATCAGCCATTAAGTGCTATTTGAAAAGATAAAAATACCCTTCGAGTGTCACCTAATTCTCTTTATCAATTATCCAAACGTTGACAAAAAATGAACAGTCCCAAATCCTTGTCTCTTCCATTTAAAAAAGTTAGGATCACCAAAATGTCCATTGATATGTAACCCCAACTTTAAAAGAGACAAGGATTTGAGACTATTCATTTTTATCAACATGTGAATGGTTGATAAAGAAAATTGGATGACACTCAAAGAGCATTTGTATATTTTCAAGTGTTACTTAACGGCTCGTTAATGGATTGGTTAACGATAGGTATTGGATTGACACATTTTGAAAGTTTGGAAACTGAATTATCGCGTTTTAAAGTTCGAGGACAAAAGTGACACTAGGCCCAAAATATATGGTATTAATCGGGAATTTTCCCTTTTATTTATCAAATTAGCCCTTGTTTCCTTTTTCATCTTTTTTTTTTTAATTTTTTTAATGACCAAGGCAAAAACATACAAATATTAATGGGATCCTCGAAACAAAAATTTTGCTAGGTTGCAAACGGATCGGATGACATAAGTAGATCCACAATTTAATTGAATTCGAATTAGAACTTATCCTTTGGATTTAAGACGAAATCTGGATTTGCTCTTTATAAAATGCATCTCACACTGACCTCACAGCACACAAGTATGGGAGATGTTTTGGATGTGTGACTGAAATGTATTATAAGGAATGGATTCGGACTCGGATAGATATAGAATTGATGGGCCCCAAAAACCCAGCAGGTAGGGGTGAGGGGACTGATGGATTGATGTATAATGAACAAAAACGTTCACAACAGCCTATTGCTATTATCCCAAAGTTTTCCCCTCTTAATATGATCAAATTTGAACGTGAATCCATATTCCAACTGTTTGATTGGATGGAATCTCAATCCCATTCATGCTGGAGTGGTGTTATTCTTTACTTATTCTAATTTTGATTCCAATTTTTATATGAACCAAACACACTATAAAAGATTCCAATTCAAACCGAGATCAAACGAGCCCTAAATTTTGGGCTGTAGTCGGTAATCACCTTGTCTCGTCTCCACCGGATGCATTTTATTTCGTTTCTTTTATTCTCTACTGAACGGACCAGATATTTCACTTGTTGGGGGTCATTTCAGTAAATTCATATCCATCATGCCCACTTAGACGGTTAGACACTTAGACCTCCTCCGGCTAAAAGCCTAAAAGTTTATTATAAGCACACCCGATGGAGAATATGGAATGGAAGCCCCCCAAGCCGGAGAAAAAACTCTCTCTCTCTCTGCCAAAACGCTTCCCGTCAGAACTTACCGGAAGGTTTTCGAGTCCCCTCTGAGCAGCGCTGATAAATTTTCTAACGTTCTGTTTTTCTTCTGAGTGATGGGTGTGAGTTGCCGCTGCTCTCATACTTTTCATATCACCGTGATCATCATCACGAGCTTCTTCCGTCACAAGATTTAGATCAACTGGGAACTCATGGCCACCAGATCCTCGTAAGAAGGCATGTCCGTTTGAATTTTCCAGGAATTCGAGAACAAGCAAGGCCGGAAACAATGGAGGCGGGTAGGAGGGTCTATAACTATAACGGTTCCAATATGACCGTTATACTTCGAAACGAAGGGATTCCTCGCTCTTCAGAGGCTCTGCTCATTTCCAGCTCTTCTCCTACTACTTTCCATGGTATTAATCTTATCTCCATTTCCTAGCTCTGTCTTTCTTCTGTTTCAATTTTCTAGTGTCGTTTGTTCCGGGTTTTCTTGGCTGTTGATCTTCTCCTTATTGCTTTGAGATTTAGCAGTTTTCATCATATTGTTTGAGCTGATCATTTCTCTCAATAGACTGTACAGGGAGGACCTATTTTCCTCTATTCTCCTTTTTTAGTGGGAATTTATTAATTTTACTGTCGTTGATGATGTTTTATGTTTCTTTGGAGATACTCATGTTTTTCCCTTCTATATGTCTGTTTCTTTTTATGTTTTGTATTTTGATTGATGCATTTCCTTATCAAATAACTTGGTTGGTTCTGCCTTGGGCTCCTTTTTGCGCTGCTCCATTAATGGATGGTTTTAAATGTTTTATTAGAACGTGGGTGATGGGTCGCATAACAATTCATAATCTAGTCTCAAGGTTAAGGTTATTGTTTACTCGATCAACCTGTTAGACTTCATTTACTTTCTACTGATTTTTCTGGGCAGCTGTTTAATCTAGTTTAATAAACTAGGTATACAATTGAGAAAAAGTTGAGCTAAAAGAGATATAAAATAAAAAGAAGAAAACCAATTTTATTAATGCATTTAAAGCAAGTACCATGAATGGTTAAACTCACCGATTCTTGTGGGATATTGCTGCTTGTTTGAGTGGAACTTCTGCAATTTAGTTTACAACTTTAATGGTTGGTTGATATCCTTTTTGTTTTTAGTATCATCATTATTTTGAATATCTGGCCGGCCCAGGTTCGAGGAGTTCCATGGTTAGCTTTGGAGTAGACAGAGGAAATACACCAGAAAGGTCTTTCTTCTTCCAACCACCTGAGCAAGAAGAAAATGGTGATGAGGACTTGGATGATTGCTTTCATCAACCTGAGAAGAAGAGGCGACTTACAGCTGAGCAAGTCCAATTCCTCGAGAGGAATTTTGAGGTGGAGAATAAGCTTGAACCAGAAAGAAAAGTTCAACTCGCGAAAGAGCTTGGCTTGCAGCCTCGGCAGGTGGCAATATGGTTTCAGAACCGCCGGGCCAGGTGGAAGACAAAGCAACTGGAGAAGGACTACGAAGGTCTTAAAGCTAGCTACAACAGCCTCAAGGTTAACTATGATAACCTCGTAAAAGAGAAGGAAAAACTGAAAACTGAGGTAGGCAATTCTCTTTACACAAGGAATAAGCTTTGGAAAGTCCCTAACAGTTGAAGATCTCTTCAACAGGTTCTTCTCCTCAAAGACAGGTTCCTCCTGAAAGAGAAAGAGAGGGGAAGCTCAGAAACATCTGATCCGAAAAACCCTCCCAATCCCCAGCCACAGAAAGCCATTCCGAATACGACTTCTGAAGAGAGGGAATCTGAGGTGCCAATTGTGGTCTGTAAACAGGAAGATATTAGCTCAGCCAACAGCGATGTCTTTGGTTCTGAAAGCCCAAATTATGCCAATGCAGGCAACTACTCTTCCCTCCTGGAGCCTGTTGATTCGTCCCATGTATTCGAACCCGATCACTCGGATCTCTCGCAGGATGAAGAAGATGATATGAGTAAGAGCTTGTTTCCGGCTATGTATAACTTGTCAAAGCTCGAAGATGCTGTTTACTCCGGTCCGGCTGGACATTCTTGTAACTACGGACTCCTGGGCGAGGATCAGGCCCTTTGGTTTTGGTCTGAGTTTTAATGGGTGTATGTATATGTATTTATCTCTCTCTTTTGGTTTAAAATACAAGCAATAAAACAATTAATGGCATCCCAAACCAGATGTGGTGGTTGGGGGTGGCCGGTGGGTTTTGTTCATTGTTGCAGATGGTTTGCTTTTGTCTCTTTCTGTAATTTTTTTTTCCTCTGTCCGGGCTACACTTTATGAGCTCATCAGGAAGCTTTTTATTTGATGAATGTAAATTTCTGTTTGTTCCATAGCTTCCAAAGAAACTAGTGGATTTGATCTTGTCTGTTAATTAGATAATCTCAACAAGGAAGAGTTCTCTACCAGATTAATTCTTAAAATTAACCAACCTTGAGGTTGAGTTTGGTACGTAAGTCATACACCATTGTGTGTATTTGTACTGTACATATTTGTATTTGCACTCCTTCCAAACTGAGCCTAAGTAGGATCTTGAGACACCCCTAGCCCAAAAGATTTTCTGGGACAGTGGTCATATTTATGCCCCTATGACATGTGAACACACACACTCACTGGTTTAAACCAAACACCAGTTGATGTAATATTTTGTTTTTTTCTTTCAAATACTGGCCTGTTCACTTCTTATTGAGGGGTCTCTGAATTTTTCTACAACCGCAGTCATAGGAAATGTGATCTCTTTCAACTCAAAACACCTTGAACTAAGCATAAAATCGACAGTGCCAACAGTACCAAAACAACACCTAGCTAAATGGATAAAAACAAAGAAAAAATTGACCATTGAACTCAAAATGCCTATATGTCACTGATGTGGTGGCGTTTATACTTGAAACACCAACAGTACCAAACAGCACTTAGCTAAGTGGATGAAAACAAAGAAAAGCAACTGTTTGCTTCTAAAATGTGAAAATGGTATAGGAACTTTTTGTGATACCCCCATCTTCTCAGTTCACAAGAATACTCATCCGAGTACGCCTGACTAGATTTCTCTTGGAAACAAGTGGGCACTCAACTATATGGATCACAGAAGATTAATCAAAGTCAAACTTTGAAATGTTTAATTTAAGAAAATATTCTTCAACTTGCAAATGTTTTTTTTTTCCTCTTTCTTTTGGTTTGCTTTTGTTGGTTCTATGAACATATCCACAAGTTAATCTTTGGATTTGAAAAGAGAAAAAAACATTCAAGTTTCATCTGCATCCAACCATCTATCTGTCTACATCATTTTAATTAGGAGATGGAGTGAGACTCTTTTGTCCCTAACGATAACTTTTCCCTAATAGAAATGTTTCTTTTTCTATTGATTAATTAGCACCAGATGTCCAGACATCCTTAGCGGATTTGTCCCTTGGAACTTGCTTACTTTGCTTAATGACAATTTGTTGCTTCATAAATAAATATTCTTCTCATTTCAAAACCAAGTATGAATAATTTGAAACGAGTCCAAAATCAATCAAATTACTTTTGGACATATTATCAACTGATTATATTAAGGAGGTTGAATTGATTCTTCCTCTGTACGCATATGTAGTCACGCTTTCATCCATATAGAAAATGTGGGGTTAAACAGTTGATGGTATTTGTATTGTTTATTGCTTTTACTTTTTGTTATGTCCAAACATATATGATCCGCAATATTTGTCGTATATAACTTTTGATCGTCATATATTTACTGTAAATAATTAAGTGATCGTGATGTATTCCAATTGATTAAAGAAGAGGCTGGCTAATGGCTATTCATTGATGGTGATGATGATGATGGCTAATACAAATTAATTAACTGAAAATTCAAAGTCAACTGGATTTAGACATTAATGGCAGCTTTCTTCTTCGACAACGACAATGGCGTAGACTTTATGGTGCACTGTCTGTGTCAAAGTTTCCTAAGCACATTTACGTTTGCACCACTCTGAGCAATTAAGGGGTGATTGGGTGGAGCGCGAGAAATTAATTATTAAGAGGAGAATCCATCTGTTGAATGTTGATGCTTTACAAAAGCAAGAAATCAACTTTACAAATATAGAAATTAATATCGCCCATCTCTACTTTTATTTCGAGTTGTGTTTGATGATGAAACAGGGATTTAAACTTAGGGATGAAAACAGATGGCATCGGATTCGAAAAAAATAAATAAAACTTAAAAAAAAAACTGTACTGATAAAGGCTGATACGCCTGGCGTATTGGCCAGTGTTGATATTTACAACCTTGTGTATGTATTATATTTATATAAATAAATAACATATACATCGAATCGGATATTCTCAGATCAGATAGGGAGTGATCTAAATCTAATCTAAATTCTAATTGAATCTTATTATCAGATCCAATCCTATCTGAAAATTCAAACTGAAAGATTCAAATTTGGCAAAATAAGATTGGATCTCGAATCAGATCAGATCACGATCCGGTCCATTTGCACCCCCTACCTAAACTCTTGAGAGTGTTTCATTTTCTTGTAACCTGCTCTTATTTTTATGTCATTTACCAACTTAAAATTGGTTTTTTTTTTCCTTTTTGATGATGAGATTGCATGTCTGTATCTGTAGGGATTTGGGAGCCATCAGCTATCTCCTTGCTTTTCTGTTTTGGCATTTAGTTAGGTCCCTTCGTATAATATTTTAACTATTGAGCTATAGCTGTGGAAAACAAGAATAGCTAAAGCTTTAATTACTTGGTTTGGAAAGATGGCAAAAACCATTTTTAAGCCCAAATAAGATGTAGGGGTGCAACTTGTTTGGGTTCGGGTTGAGATTTTCTTAAAATTGGGCATGGCCTATGATCCAATGTATTATAAAATTTTCAAATCGGATGTCTGAATTGCGTGCTTAATCACATTTATGTTTTAAAAGTGCAACCATGTAATAGAAAGAATGAGGAAGATACAAATCCCAAATTCTTACGCTCAGTTCGGAAAGAGTAAAAATATAAATATACAGTGTAAATATATACAAAATACAAGATTTTACATTGTACATATTTATATTTATAATCTTTCTAAACTAGTGTTTGTAGTGAGTTAGGTCTCAAGGTTTCTAATTGATTTAGAGTATTGGAAATGGGGAAAATAAAAGTATTTTGACACATAATATGATCCACAATTATTTATTATGGTAATTTCAAACATAGATGCCACTGGCCCACTGGGCATTACATCAAAACACTCAAACTGGAAATGCCCATAAAAGAGAAAACTTAAAAAAGGCAAGGTTTTTAAAATCGGATCGGATAGAGAACTGTTCTAGGGTTTGGTACCCATGTCGAATGGTCTAACTGTCCGGTCTGAACAGACAACCTGCTTTGACAGAAAAATTAAAAAACAAAAAAATGGCAAAAAATCATTGTCTGGATCAATGATTCGACTACCCAAATCAGTGGTTCACTGACCAAATCAATGGTTTTTGGCCAAAAAATAGTTTTGAGTAAAATGGAACTGATCAGATGATGGATTCCCAGTATTTCTGGTCTGACCATCCAGTTTGATCCAACTTTAAAAACCATAAATAAAAGGTATTATTATCATGTAGAAATCACTGTCTTTCATAGAACAAGTGAGAAACCACAACTTCTAAGTTTGTAGAATCCAGTGTCATAATGGGGAATGCATACCAATATGTTGTCACACTTTTCTCATATCATAAAGTTTCATATGCTACATCTCCTTTAAAATGTATACTAGCACTTCCCTGAAATTTAACTCTGATGCAATCAGCATCACCCAAGAGTTGAGGTAAATAAGAAAATATTGATTTCCTATCTGGTCGGAGGACATGCATCCAACCACATGTAATTTATACAAATTTCAAGGGCTAAGGTTTTAGGATTAAAGGGGTTAAGAGTTTAGTTTTAGGGTTTAAACATAAAATTCAAGAAATACCATAATAATAGAAATGAATTAAACCCGAGGTAAAGCCATGCATTCTCACTTCTCACACTCAAACAGTTTCAATGGCTATTGGCTACTATGCAACAGTTTAGTGTTAAGGACGTTTAGAATAATTCGGGTTAGCTGATGAATGCATTGGCTGTGTAGTAGGTTATCGAACCAATGATAATGTTATACATCAGTGATAGAACACATGAGGCCCATAATAATAAGTTGGAAGGTTGTGGGCCCTATGTATTTTAATATTAGCATAAAAAGTTTTATTGATTTCATAACCTACGGAACAGACAATGCATTCAGCTAGTCCTCTCAGTAAAGATATGAAACTCACAATCGTTTAATTTCTCATTATAAGTTTCATGTATTTTATCTCAACGGAGGTGGCTCAGATGGTATATAGACATGGATTTGATTCCTGTCATCACCAATCTTGACAAAGGTAGTTAATAATGATGCCAATCACAAATAACACAAAAAACATCACCATTGGTTCGACAGCCTGATGAGTTATCGCATTCAGCTAATCTGAATTCTTTGAAAACACAAAAACTTTCCAGCGGAGTCGACTCATTCATCCGCCTTCAAAATTCAATTACTTGGAAGATCTGGTAATGCCACCCCAAAGTTATCAAGTGTACACCTATTCGTCCACAATAGCAGGAAAGTTGCTTTAGTGACTTGTAAAGTATGGTGATTTCTTTTAGCCCAATGAGTATTCTTGGGAGAATGATTGATTAGTCTAGGTCAGAATTTTGTAACCCCACCGTACAGGAGGATGAATTCTGACCGTGAATTAATGCCAAATTTATCGGTAGGATACGGTTTATAGGGGTTACTAGTAGATTATGGGAGACTCATTCAGAATTCTGCATTCGATTGAAGAGTACTTAACCCTTTCTTTTAAGCATCTCTTTTTTAATTTGCTAAGAAAAAACAAATGTTATCTAGTTTCGTGTCCTTTGTGTCAACTTATCAAAGAGAAAGCAAGCGGATAGTCAAGGGTGGGTGGTCCCCACGGCTACATACAAAGCCAAAACAAGAAAAAACAAAGTGAAAATTCCCGATTAGTACCTTGTATCTTGGTCCTAGTTCATTTTGGTCCCCACGGCTACATTCAAACCCACACATCAGCAGCACCATTTTCTGAGAAAGAAAGAAAGAAAGCAGTAAAGATATAGATTTGTAGGGTTGGGGTTCAACAATTTGGCATTGAAAAGAAAAGACAAAATAAATGCAAATCCCCATTATTATTCAATTGAGAGAGAGAAGGTGAAACCAACAAAAGCAGCCTCATAAATGTCCACATTAAAAGTTTCTTAATACCAATTTTTATTAGGGATTTTTGCATTGCACTCCACCTCAGAACTCTAATTTGAACTGCAGACCTACAACAATTCAAATTTATAAACAGCTCCACCTATAACACTCATACCCACCCGTGAATTGGCATCAATTCCGAGCTGGCACCTACCCTGAACTGTATGGTGGAGATAGTATTTCAGAGGTGGATTGAATGGTAAAAACCCCTTTTTATTATTGCAAGTTTAGAACCAGTGTAAAAGATAGCGCATGTGCAAGTAAATGGTAAAGATATAAGTTGATATTGTATATCAAATTTAATTTTGGGTGAAATATAAAAACCTCCCTCAAGGTTGAGAATAGTGGTTTCCCTAAAATAAAAGGAAATTAAAACAACCATTAAATCATTCTAATAAACAGCTACTTAAAGGCTTACCAAAAAAAAAATTCAATCTCAATCAGTAAAAAGAGGATTAATATGCAACAAAATTTTGTGGCCAAAAGAAGTAATAATTTTCAATAGAGTTCAACTATGATATGGAAAATATATCGTATCTGAAAAACTTATGACCAGTCAACTGTAATCATAAATGTGGTAGCTAATCAGATGTTATTTATCAAAATTCATGGGTAGGTTTTGATTGGTCAAAACTCTTCCCATATCATATCTTTTCTGCATCATAGATTTTCCCTTTTCAATATGAATCAAAAGTGAAAGAAAAAATAAATTCTTACAAAATTTTTCCCAACTCAAGAGTCTTTTTTTTTTTAAATTCCCAATGAATAATCAAAATTAGCTATATTAGTTTGGAAGGTCAAAGAAGAAACAAGAAAACGTTAAGATTTTTGTGTAGAATATAGTATAGGAGATTAAATGACGGCAAGTACTTATTGGCCCAAACAACCAAAACGTTCAAATTAAAAAAGAATAACCATTTTTGAGGTCACCCAAGAACAGTCCAAATTTAAATGGATAGATGATCACACTTTGATTTATCTTTGAGAGTAATTTTATTAAAATAAAAGAAAATCAGAATAGCCACTAAAATTACTCTCATAAATACCTTTTCAATAGCTTATGAAAACCAAATCTCAATCAATGAAAGATTACTTGCTTTATCTTCAAATGAATAGTTTTCGTAAATAAAGAAAAGGAAAAATTTAAAGGTAATGCATACAACTCAATCAAGTATGAAATCTCGGTGCTTTTACAATGCTTTGGCCTATTAAAACTAAAAGGGTATTTGATGTTTAAACAAACATGCATGCACCCTGAATTTTTAGATTCAAATAATGTAAATATGTATTTCAATTAGAATGGTTCGGCCAAAGTGCAGGAGCAACCCAACCACATATTTCAGAAAAGGAATAAAAATTGGGAGTGGAATGGTCACACTTGGTTTGGAGAGAAAACGATAGAAAAATTCTTTTTTATAAATCTGGTTGTTCTATATGTCTTCTCCACGATGCGAAACGAACTTTGAAGTTGGATCTGATACCACTGAAGGTTGGTGATGATATATGTAATAATCCAGGAACTCTTGCCAAGTTTGGACACGGGGTCCAAACTTCTTCAACAGTCCAAAGTGGAGGCAATTTTCTAATATAATTAGAATTGCTAATAATCAAGAGAGAGTGTTATGTTGAGAGGGAGAAATGTTTTCAGTAGTTCAAACACTCTCCTAATTATTTTGGGTTTTATTCATAGACCATTTTATGATTATTGGATTTGTTCCAATGGACAGGAACTATCCACAAATCTCTTTAAATAGTTGGGATTAGCCTCCACTGGGATGAGACACTTGTCCTTTGTTGTTAAGACATTTTCTCAACCAACAACTATTCTAGTGGACAAGTCTAAAAAAGTAAAAAGAGAGATAAATCAAAATATATTTTATTTTATAAAAAAATAATAAATAATAATAATAATAATTGAAAAGAGGGGTTGATTGTGTATACATGTTGGTCCACATAGTGCAAATATTCCATTGATTGTGTGGTTATTCATGGATAGGTCGAGGATGATATTGAGGGCCATAGGCCACTCGGTCCAACCTCATCAACTGTATAGTAGAGAGAGAGCGAGAAAGAGAGAAGTAAAAATGATAGTAACAAAGGAAAAACAAATAGAAGAATACGAACGTAGGTGGAATAACAATACATCGTCAATGAAGCTTCTTCTCCATCCAATCTCATCCTGGTTCCAGCTTAATTTTTTTTATTTGTTTTAGGTTTTGAGTAGACCTGGCAATTGGGTTGGGTGGGTCGGGTTCGGGTTGGGGCAAGACACTTCAGGTTGATTTTGGGTCGGGTTGAATTTCGGATTGGATTATCAAATGCTAGATTCTAACCCTAAACGTTCGGATTAGGGTTGACCCATGGATCAATTTGGGTCATCTCAAAAAAATAACTGAAATTAAAAAAAAAAGAAGAAAAACTATATAAAAAATGTCATAATTAAGGAAATTAACCTTATGAAAACTTCTAACAATGCATAAATAGTCCCAATTAGATTTGACAATCATATCAACAGGTTGACCTATGACCCAGCCCAACCTAGTTTTTTCTCGGTTGGGTCGGGTCGAGTCATTCTCACATTTAGGTAATTAAATATGAGACCCTAATCCAGTTTTTTTAGATTGGAATGGATCAATATTTTGTCGGGTGTAGTTCTGCGTCTTTATTGTTAACATTGTTTCTACCGGCCGGAGTCCCGTAAGCCCTAAAAAAATCTCAACCTCCCGCTACTACCATTAGGAGATTCGGTATGGTGCCTGTAATTTACCATCTTTTTTCATTGAAGCATCAACTCTCTACCTTCACGGCAAGTGCATGCAAGTTTTGGATTCGTGTAGTTTTACTGTAAGCAAGGAAATTTGGGAAAACTGTACGAAGTTGCCGTGCAGGAGGGGTTCATCAACTGAAGTTGTTGGATATACGATGATCTCATCCTAATCCCAGTCCGTTCCCATTCAAAGTTGCCGTGCAAGATGTCGGCGATCATGCCAATACGACAGCCGTGATCGGCAAAGAGGCGTGCCGTGGCCTCGCCGATTCTACTAGCGCCATCTGTGACGATGGTCACTTTCTTCAGAGGTTAAATTGCCGTCGCACAGATTGTCTGAGATCCTGATTGATTTATGGAATCTCCCGCTCGTCGACGTCGGGGTCAAGCTTTGAGTACCGACAGCGAACAACGAGCGGTCATTTTATACACGTGGGTAAAATTTTAATTGTATTGACGGAAGGGTTTGCCACGTCTGCTGCTACCTTTCTTAAGAAACGAAAAAGTCTTCGCTTCCATTGACAAAACCAAACAAGTACTAAACTCTTGTTTCTCGTACCAGTCTGCGCGCGTTAATCAATTAATTAACTACTACTGCGTCATCATTCTGTTTCATCTCTGAAGTCTGAACTAAAGTCTTTAGAGAACACGGGAGAGAAAGAGTCACATAGAGAGACTGAAACCTCCAAACAAGATACAATGAAGTGTTGAGATCCTATATCCCAAAACAGTACAGTAGTTACTGGTACTAAACAAGTTGTCTACCATTTATATCTATTATATATACTAAGGCGGAAAAGGCCTTCGTCATGACGACGTGGCCTTTTCTTCCCGCCGGAAAAGGTATCCGCCCGTAAAATCTTTCTTTGCACGTAAAAATAGCAGGATGCTTGCATCTGTCCAGAAGGAGTCGTGGTTAATCAAGGTGTCCGATTGTTAACTGATTAATCCATCAAAATATTCAACTTAAAATTTAATAGGTCAAGGCAGAAAATTCTAAAACTCTTATTTATTTGGGCATTAGTGAGAGCAAGTACAGTCATATCCATTCCCATTACTATTTACTAAACATGGTCCAGTATCACACTCCCGTGCTCAGCACGGGTTATTCCGCTAGTGGAGAATCATTACAAAGGAAATATCTGAGACGTTGGCATGCATGGTGCGGTTGGCAAAGATTAACGGGGGATGTAACCGCCGTCGACAGCCAGATTATGCCCAGTAACACATGCAGATGCATCAGAAGCAAGGAACAGAACAGCGTCGGCCACATGATTCACATTCAACACTGTACCTTTCAAGCTCGTCATCAACGAGAACACCTTCTCTGCTCCCTCTGGGTGCATGCCCGTCGCCTTGCACGACATCGGTGTTGCCAACGCCGACGGGGACACACAGTTCACTCTGATCCCGTGCTTACCAAGATACCGACTGGCCGACCGCACCAGCCCCAGCACTGCGTGTTTCGACATGACGTAGTCGGTGTAGTTCTCGGCTCCGCTGGTAGCAACCACGCTCGCAGTGCACACGATGCTCCCCTTGACACCTGTATCCACCATGGATTGCGCGGCGTGCTTCACGCAAGCGGCCATTCCCCGGACGTTTACGGCGAAGAGATGATCATAAGCAGTTAAATCAAGGTCCAGGATACCCTGGTGGTTGTTAAAGATACCAGCGTTGCTGAACATGATGTCCAGGTGACCGTAGCTTCGAACCGTCCGTTCTACCATGGACTTGACTTGATCTTCATCCGTGACGTCGCAGTGAATATAGATACACCTGTCTGCGCCAATAGATGCGGCGACCCGCTGGCCCAGTTCGTCTTGGACGTCGGCAATGACGACGAGGCAGCCATGATCGGCGAAGAGGCGTGTAGTGGCCTTCCCGATGCCGCTTGCACCACCAGTGATGATGGCCACTTTTCCTTGCAAACTCTTTGCTGAAACGATAGCCTGGGCCATTAATTCTCCTTCTTCGTGATCGTGGCTTAAACTCACACTATCTTGGGGAGAGGAGAGATGTCAATTAATAGGGTCCAAATGTAGTAGACACGTTAGGTAAGCACAATGGTATGGGACCCTCTACCTCTGACTGTGGTTTCACGGGAAACATGAAACATCTTCCTACTTATAAATTATTATTTACGGGAGATGTTCTCAATGCACACGGTGGATGTGCGTGTGCAGTGCCCATGTGTGAAAAGCATATCCCGTTCCCAAAATTGGAGTTTTTACTGTCCAGTCCATCCCAACAAACCTAGACATAGACATATAAGATGCAACTAACAAATACGGCTACTGTCACTTTGATATTGAAGACGTTTTTCTTTAACATGGCGAGTTCAGATTAGATGGGAGATGGTGGATGTGATTGGTGATGGAAAAATGACTCAGAGAGAGAGAGAGAGACCATTAGTCACTCTGTTAGAAGGGGGATTACATGGGTGATCACATTCTTAATGAAGAGGGTTGTAGTATGGTTGGGCACATCACATTCTTAATGAAGAGGGACAAAGATGCTTTAATAAAAGAGGAAGGCATCACTAAGTATTGAATTTTAAGAGCTGAAAGAGTCTAAATTAACAGAGTGCCAAAGTTGTTATTGAACAATAACTTGTGAAATGAAAATCAATGAATGGTAAACGCCATAAAGAGACGCCTACAAAATTAGGTTTAGCGCTTCAACCGTGCGTGATATGCTGAAGAAATGTGGGCTAAACAACAATGAAAGCGATACTGAACCACCACCAACTGCTTTTGCTTTCCTGTCGGACTCACTGTAATTGAGTCTCAAGTTCAGAGACATCTCCCTTCAAGTGGAGAATGTGATGAAACCCACGTCCAGGAGGTAGGAGGTGGTACTTGGATTGTTCTTCTTCGCTCTGGACCCTCTTAATTAAATCACGGTTCGAGATGAAATGACCCATTCGATTTCAAGGAATCTACCAACTGCCATTTGGGTTTGATCAGAATCTACTGCTTGCCATGCTGTGTCGCCATGTGTAAACGGACATGTAACCAATCACAAGCGTTGAAAACAGTGATAGGTGAGAGAATCCATCACAATTTACAATTCAAGGGGATGTAATATAGCAAAGGTAGGGATTTAAGACGATACCATTTAGAAAACCAATAAAAATTTCTGAGGGGAAGTAGACCATAAATTTCCCCTGTTTCCAACATTGTGACCCATATACATGTGTATGGAATTAATGTATTCGTTCGTAATAGGACGGACAGCATATCTAAGCTCATTATGGCTTTCCCTTGACCCATCCCTTCACCCTTGAACATCACCTTTGATTCCCATAACGTAACCATACACAATTAACACTAAATCAGTTTGGTATTACATATTGCACAGTAGAGGGGAATTAAGGGGTGGGGACAGAGCAGGATACACATGAGATCCACTGATCTTACCATCAAAGAGCCTGGAATTATGGGGGTTTGATACCACACCTCCAGGAGGGTGGTGATTGCTGAAGCTGAGTGGGTTTGATGTCGCAGAATCTGGATGCTCCCTCGTGGCAGGTGACTTGGACTCTAAAGTGAAGACTCGCTGGACTGAGTTGAGCCGAAGCTTGCCGAGCTAATGCTGATATGTGCGAGTTCAAGTGTACTACAAGGGAAAGAAGGTGAGAGTGTGTGTGTATCTTTTATCCGGGGAGGACACTCCAATGCTTAAGTCAGTAATAGATAATTCTCTGAGAGTGTGAGGGAGATTGAGAGTATTGGTGCACAAACCTTTATGGGATGGATCTAGATGTCTTATATAGTCATCGGAGGGCTCAGGGCACTTTAGTAACGGCCCTGAGCTTCTGATGGAGCTGTTTTCGCAATATAGGGCATATTAATGCGTCGGTTGTGAGTTTCACATGGCGGTTATAGTTCATTTGAGTAGAACTTGGCACACGGTACGACGAGCTGTTCTACCGGTCGCGATACCGGTGCCTTCAATAGCGAGGTTACGGGAATGGTTAGCGAGCTCACTCTCGCAGGCTGCCTTAGCTCACCTCAGCTCAGCTGGCTCCTTGTCTAGGTCACCAGCATTCTTACGGGCTCTGCCAGCTCACCCTTGCCGAGGTCGAGATCAGGCTGTGCGAGGTGCTCTGAACTAACCTGTCAAGTTGATTTGCTGACATAGTGCTGAGATGTTGATTAAGAGCCACGTTGCCACTTACTTGGGAGGACCAAATTAGCTCTCATCAGTAATACATATTGCACAGTAGAGGGGAATTAAAGGGTGCTGGAGTGGGGACAGAGCAAGATACACATGAGATCCATTGACCTTACATCAAAGAGCCCGGAATTATGTGGGTTTGATACCACACCTCCATATTTGGAGGGGTGGTGATTGCTGAAGCTGAGTGCTTTTATTATGGTAGTCGTCATCATTTAGGCCTTGTCCCAACTATATGCTTAAATCATTTCTTACTACTTCAGCTTAGGTCCTTTTTCTACTCCTGACTCTTGCCCCTCATCAGTATTACATATTGCACAGTAGAGGGGAATTAAGGGGTGCTGGGGTGGGGACAGAGCAAGATACACATGAGATCCATTGACCTTACATCAAAGAGCCCGGAATTATGTGGGTTTGATATCACACCTCCGT